TATGGGCCAGATAGTTCAGCATAGATCAGAACCAGGAGGATTATCCGGGCTTTCTAAAGAACTTAACTGAAGTTTATTTGTATAGTGAAAATTCATTTCTAGGCACCTTACAGTTTACCAGATCATCCAGGCAAATTGATTCAAAGTTTTCTATTAAAGGAAAACCAGTTGATTGCATTGACTCATTGACTCCAAGGCAATCCCTCACACTAAGCATGCTTGTAGCAACAGTGGAGAGGAAAAACTCCCTTTTAACAGGAAGAAGAGAGGAAGATAACTTTTTTTAACATTATTTTAGTTTCCACTATTTTATCTCTGGCCTCCAAAGCATTCGGCCATAAGAGATTCTTCAGGGGAGTAAATAGGATCTGAAGGTGCTGAGCTACCAGCTGTTTTTCACAGCGACCCAGTGATGCTGGAAGTTGATCCCAGCTTTGGAAGGGGAACATGTTGAAGCTCCAAACAGCTCTAGCATCATGAAGTGTCTACTGCCGATTTACCACATGGTGAGCCATGCAGAGAACCTTCTCCACCAGCAGAGGGTGCTGTGTTTTAACTTGGAGAAGAGAAAGGGGCGATATAGGTACCAGATCTGCTCGGGTGGTCAGATCTGTTCTGGTCCTGCTCATGCCAGTGACGTTATGCCAAATGATTTCAAACATAGTGGTTGCCCAGGCAACGATAACATCATGCAGCATCCGTTAGCGTGTCTACTGACCGATTAAGTTTTACCTGATCGATAACAAAACTGAAAAGAAATCTTTTTGGTGAACAAAGTAACTGCAAGGGCATGGTATACACTACTTTTGAATTTGTATGAAAAACCGTAAAACTGTTGTTTTCTTTGTCTTAAATCTCTACTAACGTCATTTTTAGGATGTTCCATTTTTCCTTCCCTGCCCTCGGGTCTTAATAAAAAGTAAAAATAAACAGAGACTTTTGTGTCACCTTGTTAAATGGCAGAGCTCAGTCTGTCTTAGAAGGCAGGACTTTCCTTCAAGACTGACAATGATTGTTTTCTACTTTTGGCTACTTTAGATCGCCAATGAAATGTAAAATAAAAGCAAATATAGGAAATTATATGTTGAAACTCCAATACAGGGTGAATACAGTTTGTCCGAATGGACTTGCCATATGTTGACGTCATAAGAAGGGGCGGGGCCCCCATCAGATCTGGTACCTACAGCGGAATTCTTGTCCTTTTTTTGCATTTGTTCTGTACTTCTATCAAAAAGGATAAATACATTTATTAAAAAAAATGTACTGACTATTAAAGTTTAGAGCAGCCATCCCCAACCTCGGTCCTCGAGGGCCGCTGTCCTGCAGGTTTTAGAGGTTTCCCTGCTCTAGCACAGCTGATTATAATGATTGCAGTAGACTAAAAGCCTGTTAATGAGCTTTCAATTAAAATCAACTGTGCTGGAGCAAGGAAACCTCTAAAACCTGCAGGACAGCGAGGACCGAGGTTAGGGATGCCTGCATTAGAGCATCTCCAAGCAGCTTAAAGATCCTGTGCCAACAGCTGCACATTTTAAGAATTAAAGATCCATGGACTGTAGCCAACATCCCTGGCTGTGGCTGCAGGAGGAAAACTGACAACAAATCAAAGAGACGGATAATGGATTAATGGTGAACTTCAAGCTCAAGGAACAACATTGATAGGAAAAGAATCCACAAAGCTTCTGGGATAATATCCTATGGAAAGATTAGTCAAAAACTGACCTTTTAACACCAGCTTTATGTGTACAGGCAGGAAACTGAAACACATCAAGAAAATAAAATGTTTCCTACTATTAAACATGGAGGAGGCTCTGTTATGCTCAGGGCTGCTTTGCTTCATCTGGCACAGTGCGTCTGAATCTCTGCAGGGTCCAATGAAATCTCCAGACTATCAGGGATTCTAGAGAGAGATGTGCTGCAGTTTGTTCCATTTGGATGTCCTGAGTGTTCAACAGCATAATGACCTAAAAACCACAGCTAGAAACAGCCAAGAACATCTGAGAGGAAAACATTACTGTTCTAAAGTGGCCTCTAGGAGCCCTGACCTAAATCCTATTGACCATCTTTGGAAGGAGCTGAAACAGACTGGAATTGGCAGCCTTCAGACCTGAGAGACCTGGAGCAGTTTGCTGATGAGGAGAGGAGCAGAAGTCCTACTGACAGGAACTGATTGATTGCATTGATCGACTCTACAGGATGGGCAGACCCCCGCGCACACCAGCTTTGCTTTTTTTACTCCATGTTTTGATCATTTTCATTTGTGTTTTGAGGCTAAACTAATGCCTTATGTCAGATTTAGAGCTCATTTTCTCAATTTATTTATATGAGGGGAAAAAAGCTATTTAAACAAATATGGAGTCAATATGACTGTAGTTTATTTTATATAGGTTCCAGCACGATGGGTTTACAGGTAATGAAAAAGTAGATGTGGCCAAGCTAAGAAGAGCAAAACAAATAAAAAAATAAAATTATAGGATAATTAATAACATATAGAATAACAGAAATAAAATTAAAGATTAAAATCTAAAGGAAATTTGTGGAGACAATGAGAACATAAGGAAATAGAAGGGAAGAGACAATGTTTTGATTCTGACTGGAGCTTATTGGACTTAATGGTACATTTATAATAAGGAAATGACTGGAAAAGTTAATATGATTGGGCGTCATGTATTATGGTATTACAAAGGATATCAGGATAAAAAATAATAGGTTACTTTAAAATATTTTTATGTTAATTAAAATTAAACATTTATTTCAGAAAGACTCGAAAAGTAAAAGTTATGTGGAATTTTTATTCATTTATTTTTTTTCGGTTTGATATCTGAGGATTTCAAATCCTCTCCAGTGGGGGGCAGTAAAACACCATTTAGCTATTAGCTAACCGCTATTAGGAAAGAAGAAAATATATTAGCTAAACAGGCCTTAAAATCAGATATTATTAACTTAATTATATTTTCAATGATAAACCTTTTAGGAAGTAAATCAAATTATGCTTGAAATCAGTTTATTTGATTAAAAAAAACTGGATTATTTAATCGCATTTAAAGTAAGAATATAAGTGTGTGTATGAACGTGCATATACACACATACTAATTTATATGTGAGTTTGTATGGATATTGATTGATAGATAATATGTAGATAATACTTTCCCTCTGACATCATTGATGACCTCACTCCAGTCTGGTAGGTGGCGGTAAATGCACCCTAAAGTTGGTTGCCATGCGCCAATAAAAACAGTAGAAGAAGACAGAGGAAGAAGAGGTAGCATCACAGTTAGCTTTATGCTAACCGCAGCCGTGTAACCTAACGGGATGTCTACAGCCTCCAAAGTGGTTCTGACGGTTTCTGTGGTTTTGACTCTGAGCACGGTGGCTGGGGTCCACCTCAAACAGGCCTGGGACCGAGAGGTAGGCGGCTCACAACCGGACGGTACGGACAGGCAGGCAGAGGGAGGTTTGTGTCCGGAGAGGTCAAACCCAGGACCAGTCTATGTCCTGAAGCTTTCAGATGTGTCTCTGCTTCCACACCTGAAACAAAAACCCGCATTTCCTCCTCAGTCTGCTACAGGTTCTATAGAAACCTGCTAAGAACCGGGTCATTTGACTCAGGTGAGCTGAAGGAGAAACACGTGTGAAAAGGTTCAGGTCACTGGACCCTGAGGAGCATAATCCAAGATCTGTTAAAAACAATATGGCTGCAGGGTTCTAGAGCCTCTTCTGGGTCAGAACCGTCTGGATAGATGAAACTAGCCTTGATGTGGATGACTGTATTGGACAGAACCATGTTTAGAAAACAAACACTCCATATAAAGCACGGTAGTGGTGGGCTGGGGATCTGGGATAGCTCAGTCTGGGTCTGAATGTTTTTACTACTGGGAAATTTCAAGTTGGAAAAATTCAGCCCGTGGAGGCTGATTCAGAACTTGTTAAGCTGGGTCACACTTGGTACCATTATGGACCAGAACCAGAATGGTCTGAATTCTCCAGCTCTACAGTCCACCTGCTGTAGTAGTTGGATGGTACCGGGCATTTCTACAAGCCAGGATTAGACCTGTGCATGGAAAAAAAAAAAGTCCTGGTTCTTTTCTTAAAGTCGTGTATGCCATTTAAGAGCCACTTTAGCCTGATTTATGTTGTGGTTCAGGATGTCCATCAACATCCAGGTGAGACAGTCAGAACTTTTATCAATCAAACATCAAAATGCTTCCTGATCAGCAGAACACATGGAATTTAGACAAGAGTGTAACTTTGTGATAAAACTTGGTGAGGACGCTCCAAGCATAGTGGCTACTCACCCTGAAAACTTTCAAAAGGGGGTTTATTTTCCAAAAATGAGCTCAAACATGTATTTATTGAATGCTTTCCTATTGTTGAGAACACAAGAGCACCACAATACACTGATATTTATAGTTATAGACAGACGCTTGCCTCTAGTGCATCATTTATAAAGGACTCAAAAACATTAATGTATAAAAAATGATGAATAACAGCCGGTACTGATGCCAGCATCAATATATCATGCATCCCTGGTATGGACACAACTTCACTTCCATCCATGCATGGCTTCCCTTTAAGCTGCACCAGTTATTATCCTCCTTCACAAGCAGAAAAATGTGTCCCATATGTCATTGACGGCCAAAGTCTATATATTTAACCTTATATTTCAAAAATCATTTATACTCTGGTTTTTATTATTTCTGCTTTAATTCTTGCAGGTTTCTTATATTTTAATTTTAAGTGTTTCCTGTTAGTCTGACTGTCTCTGTTTTGCAGCTATTTCTGAGTCTTGTTGAACTACAAAAGACAAAAAGATATGTTGAATTTTATTATAGCGTATTTTTTTCTTGTAAACTTGGGGATATATTTTATTGCATGTTGCATATCCCGCTGCCAGTGAATTTAGAACGACTTTGGATCAATTATAGATCTCTGAGGAACATCCCTGAGTTACAACAAATCCTGTGAAGTCTGATCAGAAGCAGATCAGAGTTCTGATATTGAAACCAGAACCAGAGGGTCAGAGATCCAGATTAGCAGTTTGACAGATTCTACTTTCAGCTGTGAGTGGATCTGAATGTTCTCCGAGTCTTAATGGTTCCTGGTTCCTCCACAGCGCCTCCGTGAGGGCGTAGTCAGGGACCTGGAGCGGCTGCAGCGCAAGAGAGAGAACCTGCGGCTGCTGGAGGAGCAACAAGTCCTGACCCGACAGCTGGAGGAGGAGAGGCAGCGGCGAGAGGCTGAGCTTCAGCCGCAGGACACCTGAGGAAGGTAGAGCACAGCTGGATCTCCCGTCCCAGAATATGGAGGGAATTCAGTTCCGTTGTTGTTAAAAAATATGTTTTCTAAATTGAAATCTGAGCAAATGTAGTTTTAGAAATAAAACTAAAAATCCTCTAAATCAAAAATAAGGTTTGAGAGTTATTAGATTTTGTCAAATTGAGTTTTACGGATCACATTTTCTTCACTTCTTGTGGAGGCGGGCTTTCCTCCGGAGAGATTCTATTGGTCTGCTTGACATCACCAAAAATATTCTTATTGGTCCAGAAAGGGCGTCCATATTAGGCTTGAAGGGACAGAGCTCAGCTGTCGGGTCGTCTCTCCTCTGCAGGTGGGGTTTCCGCCTGAGGTTCGCTGATGGACAGCAGCGGCGAGCAGCTGGCGGCGGCCGAGGACGAGGCGGCGGGCACGTCGGCCTCAGAGGGCCTGGAGGAGGGAGAGGTGGAGGGGGAGACGCTGCTGATCGTGGAGTCGGAGGACCAGGGTTCTGTGGACCTATCGCATGACCAGAGCGGAGACTCCCTGACGAGCGACGTGGGCGAAGAGACGGACGGAGGATGGGCCTGCGAGGACATGTCCTTCTACTGTGACCGCTGTCACAAGTGGATTCCAGCAGGTGAGCCAATCGGAGCGCGGCATGGGGTCGTTCCCTCTCTGCGTTCTCGCCTGGTTCTGACCCCGTTCTCTGCCGGTTTCAGCTCAGCTCCGCGGTGAGCAGCCCAGTTACCTGAAAGGAGACAACTTCTTTAAATTTCTGTGCTCCAGCTGCTCAGAGGACGGGAAGGAGAGCTTTGAGAGGATGAGGCTCACCTGGCAGCAGGTAAGACCCCGCCCCCTTTGGTCCGTGGCCTGCTGTCCCGCAGGTAGAAATCAGTCTTCTCTGTGCAGGTGGTGATGCTGGCCATGTACAACCTGTCTCTGGAGGGGACGGGGCGGCAGGGATACTTCAGGTGGAAGGAGGACATCTGCTCCTTCATCGGTCGACATTGGAACTTCCTGCTGGGAAACAGGTGAAGCGCTTCTGATCCGTTGGCCACCAGTGGGCGCTAAACCACACCGGTCCTGTTCGTGTTCTGTATGAGGCACTGAGGATGATAATTTTATCGGCCATTCGCAGGAAGAAGACGTCCACATGGTGGAGCACGGTCGCCGGCTGCCTGTCGGTCGGAAGCCCCACCTTCTTCCGTTCCGGAGCGCAGGAGTTCGGAGAACCCGGCTGGTGGAAACTGGTCCAGAACCGGCCTCCCACGCTGAGACCGGATGGAGACAAGACCAGCACGAAGATCAGAGGTGAGGCTCTGTGAAGCGGCAGCGTGCGGGTGAGTCGGCTCTGCCCTCCTCTGACGTGTTGCGTTTGGCCAGCAGCCTCCAGGCCGCCCATGGATCCCATCATCACGGTGGAAGGCCTGAGGAAGCGCGGAGCCAGGAACCCAGTGGAGAGCGCCATGCAGCTGAAAGAGAAGCGCTCCCGCACACAGGAGGCCAAAGACATACGGCGAGCTCAGAAGGAAGCAGCGGGCGGCTACACGGACCGCAGCGCCTCTTCCACACCCGTCAAGATGGGAGTCTGTCGGGGCGGACGGCGCCCCGATCTGGTCCTGGAGAGAGGCGAGGTCATCGACTTCTCGTCGCTCAGCTCCTCGGACCGTACACCTCTCACCAGCCCCTCCCCTTCGCCGTCGCCTGACTTCTCTGGTCCGGGAACCCCTGCATCCCACTCGGCCACGCCCAGCCTGCTGTCTGAGGCTGACCTCATCCCAGACGCCATGCCCCCTCAGGCGCTGTTCCACGGTGAGTCCTCATCCGTCTCGGCTGGCTTTTGTCCTGCCGCGAGAAAATGCTGATGTCACTGTTCACTGGCTCCACCTGCAGATGATGAGGAGATGGAGACGGAGGGGATGATTGACCCGGGAATGGAGTACGTCCCTCCGCCAAACATCAACGTCAGCCGGAAGAAGCTCCGCCCACCGCAGACTTTCATCAAACGGGAAGCTGATAGCGAGGAAGACGAAGGCCACGACCAAGAGGGCCGCTGTGAGGAGTCTGCAGACTGCGAGGCTCCGCCCTCTTCCTCCCGGGGAGGAGGAGGAGGCGGGGTAGTGGAGCGGCGAAGAACGACTGTTCCTGAGAAATCTGATGCTGTCGCCGCCCCAGAAGGTCCCCGCTTCTCCCCCCTGAGCTTATATGAGGAGCGGCTGCTGCTGCGGCGGATGGATGCCTGCCAGCTGGCACTGGCCGTCACGCCGCAGGCCAAACGACTCTACAGGAAGCTGCTCATCCGCCACGCCAAACGGCAGAGAGGACTGCCTCTGTTTGACATCGACCGGGCAGTCAGTGCTACCCTGAGCCTAGTGGGGGGGGTCTACGGCACTCAGGAGGTGGACTCACGAGTCGGGGTTGGAGTTAAAGGGACGTTCTGCACCAGCAGCCAGGAGGAGCGGATTCTGGATCGTTTCCAGGTAGCGGGAACCAAAACCTCCTGGTTGTTTCGACGCAGAGGTTCTCTGGATTCCTCTGATCTGTTCCGTCTCTGTTCCTGCAGACAAACGCGTCGAGTAGACGCGGCGTCCAGCAGCGCTCCGTGTCCTTTTGGCATCGCCTGATGGGAGCTGAGGGCAGTTTGGAGCAGAACATCAAGAGTCCGTACACGGCCCGGATCCTGAAACCGTTCATCAGGTCCGAGTCGCAGAAGTGGACCTGAGGCGCTGAGTGACGGTCGTCTCACCTGTTTTGTGTTTGTTCTACTTCCTCAGGAGGGATTTCGAGTCCAAACCTCTAAAGCTCCGCCTCCTGGCTGAGATTAGAGCATATCCTCACAGGAAGGATCCAGACTGGATCCCAGAACCCGACGCTCCCATCGACTACTGCTACGTCCGTCCCAACCACATCCCATCCGTCAACGCCATGTGCCATGACAGCTTCTGGCCAGGTAAGCCCCGCAACCTCCCTCTGCAGCCTCCCCTCTCGTCCCCGAGTCTGACCTCAGCCGTGTTCCTCCAGGTGTGGACCTGTCCGAGTGCCTCCAGTACCCAGACTTCAGCGTGGTGGTGCTCTACAAGAAGGTGGTGGTTGGCTTTGGGTTCATGGTTCCAGACGTCAAATACAACGAGGCGTACATCTCTTTCCTGCTGGTCCATCCTGAGTGGAGGAAAGCTGGGATCGGGACCTTCATGATCTACCATTTAATCCAGGTGAGTCCTGTCAGTGCGACGAGTCTGGGGGGGCGGAGCTCTGAGAACGTGTGGAAACATCTGCTTCTGTCTTCCAGACTTGCATGGGGAAAGACGTGACGCTGCACGTGTCGGCCAGTAACCCCGCCATGCTGCTCTACCAGAAGTTTGGCTTCAAAGCCGAGGAGTACATCCTGGACTTCTATGACAAATATTACCCCGTTGACAGCGGCGAGTGTCGGCACGCCTTCTTCCTGCGACTGAGGCGCTAAAAGGTGGCGCCGCGGTGCTGCGGGGAGCTCTGCTTTGACTTCTGTCCTGTTCAGAATAAAACGCTGCTTTTCTCTGTGTTTCTGGTTCCAGTTGTTCCTCTTAAAGATGGACTAACATTTTCTTTATTGGACATTTTCAGTCAAACTTAGCTACATTGGATGAATTTAGCTCCAATATTTTTTTTAAGGCTTTCAGTCCTCAGTTTCTTAAATTACCTCAAAGCTGCACCAAAACCAATTAAATAAATAAATTCTTCCTTGAAAACAGCTTTGGTGAACCTACTTTTACAGACTGAACATCTAAACTCCAGAGGAGACATATAGGAAGCTACTCAGCTGTTGCTAACAAAGACTTTAATCCCTAAACAAGTTAATTAAAAAGGTCACTTAAAAAAAAACAATACACGCAGCTTTGTTTTCATCTTTAGAGTTATTTCTGTATATTTTCCTGTCATAAACTTTAAATCTGCAACTAGCTAATATAGAACTAGCTTGTATTCTGAAGTTTGACCAGCAGATGGCGCTAATTCCCTTTCTAAAATACACCAGTTTCTTCTTCTTCCGGTTCGGCAGCTTTGATGTTGAAAGAGGTTTCAAAACGTATTGCTCAGTGTTGTGCTGGGGTATTAGTTCTTAAAAACATTGTTTTGAAATACTAAAAATGGCAAATGAAAATATAATTTGTCTGATTTTGTTGTTTTATTTCTATAAATGTAACTGGTACGTGTAACAAAAGTTACTTAAAGTATTTCTGATTCTGATAAGCAGGCTGATCTGTAAAAGTGTTTACTCCCAGATATTTGATCTTAATCTTTAAGGTTAAAGTAGTTTTAAAATGCTGACGTGTTTAAAATAAAAAAAACGTAGACATTGATTATTCCTTTGGAGTTTTCCTTAGAGACATTATGATGTGATGTGAAGGAGAAGTGAGAGAGGATTCCTGGAGTCTGAACCTCTGATGCTCTTAGAACCGTTTTTATTGTTAAGTTTAATTCACTGAACTTCCTGACTCAGGAAAAATGTTTTCAAAGCTTAAATACGTCGATGCTTTTGGCTTTTTTTACAGCAAAGGAAAAGAGAAATCCCAAGAATCGTTTGGAGACAAATGGCCCCAAACAGCTGATCGCAGTACAGGATGTCTGGTGCTGTTTGGACCTACATAGCTCAGCCAACCTTCCCATCAGAACCAATTCAATTCAGTTTATTTATATAGCGCCAATAAAAAACTCATGTAATCTCAGGGCACTTTACAATTCAACCATCACTGCAAAAGTATCACACAAAGGTAGACTTTTTCAGATCCAGATCCTTTTTTTTGATCCATTGTTTCTCACTTGATGTGGAGGCAAAATGCAGCTAGATCTCCAGCTCTCAGCAGACTGAGCAACATTCCCCCTGAAGATTCTCTCTGACCTGCTGTTATCCTTCACAGGACTCATCAAAACTAAATGGCTTTCCATGGTTTGCTCATATCTTTACACATGGTTATTATTGGAGGGTTGAAATCTTCCAGACTCCCTCTGTTTCCCAAAATCACCATGGCAACCAGTGACTCTGAATCACTCAGTAACCTCTTCCTCCTGGCAGCGCTCCATCATGGCTGCCTCCACAGAGCCAGAACAATCTGATCAATCCTTGGATCTCTGATAAAAGTTTCATAAATTCAGATCTACTGAGAAGTTCTGCAGAACTTTTGACTGAAATCTAATGTTCATCACAGAACCTTGAACACATTCATCCCAAAGTGAAGGTTGGTGCCGAAGATTACGATGCCTTCCAGTCTTTAAATTTTAGAGGAACTTAATGATTGAAAATATCTTTCTGGACTTTTATAGACTCTTATACTCCCGACCGTGCAGCAAGTAAACAAGAATTAAGCCATTATAGCCAAGGCTTATGGGAACAGGGTCTCAGTGCTGTGTGAGGCCTTTGGATACATGAATAAAGACACAACTATCCATGTATAACAGAAAAGGGAAAAAGGGTAGAACATATATATTGATGATGATGGATGGCGGGTCATGTGGAGAGTACATCAGTCAATTACCAGCTAATGGGCATGAAGGGATTTTGCCTGGAAGAATGTAAGACTAGAAACAAACAATTAAAAAGTCATTAGAACTGTTGGAGAGGATTTGGAGCAGTCGATGTGGACCAGTTATATATCTTCTTGAAATGTTCAAAAATATTGGTGTTTTTGGGAAACATCTGTGAGGTCATATGTTATGTCTTAGAATACAATGTTCCAGTGAGATCTGAAGTGCTCTACTTGTGTAAATTCTCTGAATAATCATCATTTGGTTAAAACATTGTTAATAGAGATAACAAGAAACTGGAGGAAAGAACGAGTTCCACCAAAGCAGGGATGTTCCACTGGCTCCAGAAAGAGCCATGTCGCTGCAGGTTTTCTTTCCAACCAAACACTAGCGCACCAGACTTCATCAAGTCATCATGTTCAGATTGGACTCACTTAATGAGATGACTGGAGTCTGGTGCGATTGCTTGGTTGGAAAGAAAACCTGCAGCCACTGCAGAACAATGGTCAGTAATAGTGGAGAACACAGGTTCAGATTAAAGGAATGACAAATGGACAAAAAAATGGAAAATAGATTAAGAATTTTATAAGAAAACAAGATGGCGATGGAAGATTTTAATCCTTAGAAACCGAAAAAATGTTTTATAAATGTTCTGTGTAAGAAAACCCCACTTTATCTCAATATAAGTG